CTCCTGAGTAGCTAGGACTACAGGTGCCCGCCACCACACCCGGCTAATTTTTTTTTTGTATTTTTAGTAGAGACGGGTTTCACTGTGTTAGCCAGGATGGTCTCGATCTCCTGACCTCATGATCCACCTGCCTCGGCCTCCCAAAGTGCTAGGATTACAGGCGTGAACCACCACACCCGGCCAGATCCTGGCTTTCTTACATGGTCTTTATTAGCTGTCTCCCAAAGGGTGAAACTCTTTCACTCAGAATTGCTATCAATCCCTTCTGTCAGAATCCATTTGACAAAGAAAAAAGAAATCTCTAAAAAATTACTTGGCTCGGGTGGGATTACATGCCCAGCCTGAATGAATCCCTGCATCCAAGGGAATAGGATACTCTGGCCAGTCTGGACCATATGCCTGCCCCTATTGTGGTTGGAGAGAGTATGATAATGAAAGCTTTCTGGGGTACAGGTGGGTGTGAGTTCTGCTAGCAGACAAGGGAGGCGGGGAAGGGACACTGGACAGGCAAGGGCACATGGCCACTAATCAGCTCTAACATGTTTTGAGCCATGGTGTTTTGTGAAAATGGCACCATAGCCCCATGACTGTGGGTCCTCCACTGTTAGTGAGGAAGACTGCTTTAACAGCCACAAGGACAAGCTTGAGGGCAGGAAGGCATGTTACCACTCAAACAGTAGCAAGGAGCAGGGCATTAGCAATTCATAGGGCCTGGGGCCTGATATGGGGTCCATTAGTAGCTCCCCACTGTGATAATCCCTTTATCTGGTTTCTGTACCTTTAAAATGGGGGTGCTGGCCTAGTTTTCTTACCTTTAAAATGGGGATGCTGGCCTAAATACTTATAAGCCCTACTTTTTATTTTTAATTAATTAATTAATTAATTAATTTTTTGAGACGGAGTCTCACTCTGTCATAGAGTGTGCAGTGGCACGACCTCGGCTCACTGCAACCTCTGCCTCCCGGGTTCAAGCAATTCTCCTACCTCAGCCTCCTGAGTAGCTAGTATTACAGGCATGTACCACCATGCCTGGCTAATTTTTTGTGTGTTTTTACTGGAGACAGGGTTTCCCCATGTTGACCAGGTTGGTCTTGAACTTCTGACCTCAAGGGATCTGCCCACTTTGGCCTCTCAAAGTGCTGGGATTACAATCGTGAGCCACCGCGCCTGGCCCCCTTTCTAGTTTTTAAAAACTCTGAGGCAAGGACCAGGTGAGGTGGCTTATGCCTGTAATCCTAGCACTTTGGAAGACTGAGGTGGGAGGACTGCTTGAGCCCAGGAGTTCAAGACCAGTCTGAGCAATATAGCAAGACCCCATCTCAAAACAAAACAAAACAAAAAAAAACCCTCTGAGGCTGAGCATTTAGTGTGTTTGTTAAACAGCTGGCCTTTTTACTTTTATGGTAACACACATATGTGTTATATATATGTTAAGGCTAGTTAAATGCATGCAAATGTTAGGTATTGTATCACCAAAGTTGTGACCCTTATGTGGTAAGATACCTGTGCTATATTATTCAGATGGACAGTGAGTAAACCAAAATTGCTCATCCTTACCAGCTGCTGTTTGTTTCTTTTTAATCCTTAAGTTTTACATGGACAGATGGCAAATTAAACAGCAGTAACTTGGTAATTCTGTCTGGCCAAGTGGTTGAACACTTTGATCTGGAGTTCCGAATCCTGTATGCCCAGTCCAAGCCCATCAGCCCCAAACTCCTGTCTCACTTCCAGAGCAGCAACAAGTTTGATCACCTCACCGACCGAAAACCACAGTCTAAGGAGCTCACCCTAGGCAACCTGCTGCGGATGCGGCTGGCTAGGCTCTCAAGTACTCCCAGGAAGGCGGACCTGGACCCAGAGATGCCCGCAGAGGGCAAGGCAGAGCGCAAGCCCCATGACTGTGAGTCCTCCACTGTTAGTGAGGAAGACTACTTCAACAGCCACAGGGACGAGCTCCAGAGCAGAAAGGCCATTGACGCTGCCACTCAAACAGAGCCAGAAGAGGAGATGCCAAGGCTGAGTGTGAGTGATGTAGGAACACAAACCAGCATCACCACAGCGTGTGCTGGGACCCAGACTGCAGTCACCACCAGGATAGCAAGCTCTCAAACTATGGTTTGGTCCAGGTCGACCACCACTCAGACTGACATGGATGAGAACATTCTCTTTCCTCAAGGAACTCAATCTACGGAAGGGTCACCAGTCTCAAAAATGTCTGTATCAAGATCTTCCAGTTTGAAGTCTTCCTCCTCTGTGTCTTCCCAAGGCTCTGTGGCAAGCTCCACTGGCTCTCCCGCTTCCATCAGAGCCACTGACTTCCACAATCCTGGCTATCCCAAGTACCTGGGCACCCCCCACATGGAACTGTACTTGAGTGACTCACTTAGAAACTTGAACAAAGAGCGACAATTCCACTTCGCTGGTATCAGGTCCCGGCTCAACCACATGCTGGCTATGCTGTCAAGGAGAACACTCTTTACTGAAAACCACTTTGGCCTTCATTCTGGCAATTTCAGCAGAGTTAATTTGCTTGCTATTAGAGATGCAGCACTTTATCCTTCCTATCAGTAACTGCTCCGTGTTCAGACTCCTGGTTTCTTCCAGGCTTACAGTGGACATCATCAGCTTCCTGCTTTAAAAAATATCTTATGTCCCTCATTGCCTTTCTTTTACCTGACTTTGTCACCTTTGTTGTCTTTGAATTCTATAGGCTGCATATTCTTTTACGTGCTTTGTTTTGTTTTTGTCATGTATGTACCAGGTATTGGTTTTATGGTTTAAACACTATGGATACAGGTTGTTTTTTTTTTCTTGTTTTTTTTTTTTTTTTTTTGCATAATTTTAATAGTCATGCACTACATAATGATGTTTCGGTCAACGACAGACCACGTATATGATGGCAGTCCCGTAAGATTATAATACCGTATTTTTACTATACCTTTTCTATGTTTAGATACAAATACCATTATGTTACAGTTGCCTACAGTATTCAGTGCAGTAACATGATGTACACGTTTGTAGCCCAGGAGCAACTGGCTATACCATATAGTCTAGGTGTGTAGTAGTTATACCATCTAGGGTTCCGTAAGTACACTCTGTGCTGTTTGCACAAGGACGAAGTCACCTAACAACACATTTCACAGAATGTATCCCTATCACTGGGCAACACGTGACTGTATTAATCTCTTAAGGAGAATGCTTAGGTGTTCTAAGTCTAACTCAGGTGAGAGATGAAATATGTTTTGCATTTTTCTCAGGTTATATGCTTTTCCGCTTTAAAGATTTGAATTACCAGCATTTTTGTGATCAAAATCCTATTTAGAAAAAATAAAACTACTTTTTATCTCTTTAGAGTATCTGTGTTCTTAGCATTAAATAAATATAAACTTGTGTTTCTGTACTTTTTTCCCCCTTCTCTGACACTTTTCTCTTTAAATCTGGGAATATGTCACAAATAAATGCATCTAATAGATAAAGGTATATAGGTATCTATATCTGAAGGTTTTTAAAATAGTGTCAGGGTGAGGAAGAAGTAGATGATCCAAACTATAGAAGGGAAAATAGATCCACTTAACCTTCGTTAGCATCGTGAATGTTGATGTTACTGTATAGTTTGAGTGAGGAAACTGGCCAGAAATAGCAGGCCTTTGCACATGCTCTGCCTTTTCTCTTTTTGAAGAAGAAGCCTGAGCTATTTCGGTAAGTCCTTGGTACTTTGGTACTCTGCTTGTCTACCAAAGGAGGCCTTAGTGTATGTTCCTATATTCATTCCCAATATTAACTCTGGTGGCCCCATGGGCCTCATTTCATCAGCTGGGTGTACTGACAGTGATTTACAATCTAATATCCTAACAAGATCTACAGCAGGGGAAGGCATCTGCCACATAAACTGCTGATGCACTTGGATCATGAGTGCCCCTACACTCATGCCTATGCCAGGACTCCCTTATGGTGGTCAGGTTATTTACTGGGTTAGTGCTGTAATCTGTGGCTGTAAAGCACATGTAAGGAAATTGATCCATGTCTGCTTAGAAACAACTCTGAGCTAAGCCTCCAGTAAACATATTGTTACTTGAAATCATCTTGCAGACCTAGGTCACTTCATATGTGTCATCTTTGATCTTTGCAGCAATGTAGCAGAGAGCTATGCAGGTTAGATAGCTGTTATTTCCAATTTTCTGATGAAACTGAGGCTCTGATTAAGTAGCATATTCAAGATGGCATGGCTTGTAAATGGTGACACAAGAATTTAAACACAGGTTTCTAGATTCTAAGTGCAGTACTCTGTTATACAACTATTTTTTTTTTTCACCAAACTATGATTTATTTAGCTTTGTTCCCTCCCATCCAAGACTGCTGATCTCTAAACAAGCATCAAAACCCGAAGCTCATTAACATCAGAGTGAGCTTCAGTAAGGTGAACGCTACAATGATGTACAATTACATCCTCATAATTCAATGCCCAAGAGCCCTGTAAAACTATTGCAAGGCCCAGGGTTGTCACAGTATGCAAATGCACTAGGAAAATCATTACCTATTTAGTCCCCTTCATTTTGGTGGGTTTAACATGAGAGGAATAATCCATGCTACAAGATGAGATTTCATTTTACAGCTGTAGTAACCAAGTATATAAAAGCTTGAATCTGTCCCAATAGCTTCTAAAAATTTTTTCCCATAGTGTCAGAGGCAAAAATAATGAAATCTTGCAAATGTACAGTTAATAGGACCCTAGTGGACACTAACTTCAAAAATGCATGGTCTATAAGACATTACAAGGCTTGATTCCAGTTTCTGCACTGTTCCTGTTAATAACAATGTCTAATTAAAACATCTGTAAAATACTGATAGTTTTAATTTTACATAAAATTTCCAAAACAACTGTTACACAGTATAATAGGTATCTGCAATGAATAGGTTATTAATGGAAGTATTATTTTAAATTCTGGTTCTAAATTTAAATTAGTCATTCCTGGCTAATGAAGACAAAAAGAAGTCACCCATGCTGGGAATACAGTAGAAAATTTAGTTTTCAACATCTATTAAAGCAAATTCACTGTATCACTTGGGCTAAAGGATAATTCTCTTTGTTACTTTCTGTCTTCTCCATTTGGCACATCCGATGGATTTCACAGTTGAACTCATTACTAGAACTACAGCCTAATGTACCTTTTAATACATTACTTTATAATTTAAAAACCACCATTCAACTTTCTTCACAGTCTGAAATCCCCCCTCCCTGTTTTCCAGTGAGGAGACAGCAGAGAACACTCTTCCCTGTGGTAGCTTCTCCCTCCCAGCCCTGCCTAACCTGATGAATATTTTAAAAGGAATGGCACAAAATCTCAGCTTTTCCTTTCTTTGGGTCTCATCTTCAGTTACAAAATAAAAGAGATTAGCAAGGCTTACTGGCTGGCCGCAATTCAATACCTTTCTTTCTATTTAATGCACAACAAAAGAGGGTTAAAAAGCGATCAGCACTGACTGGTGTGTGTCTATTGATGCTGGCACTGAGTTGGTCAGGGATTCATTCCAGACAATAAGAAGCTGCATTTCAACTTGCTTCAGACGCACACATTGCTTCACAACAGGTGCTGCAGAATGTGGTCCACAGCATGAGGGAAACTCTCACAAGTTAAGTAAGGAGGTGGATTAATTTTTTCTTCATCTGATGCTCGGTATTTCCCAGTCTTTACTAAGATGCCCAGCATGCCAACATCCTGAGCCCCACCATCATCATCCCTGCAATCATCTCCTATCATGACAGCCTCCTCAGGTTCACAGCCAGTGCCTCGCAATGCTTCCAAAAAGAATGTCTTCTCTGGTTTCCCCACGACTGTGGCTTTGGTATCTGTGGCACACTCTAAAGCAGTCACAAATGGTCCGGGCCCCAGGGCTAAGCCATCTTTCCTCTTGTAATACCTGGCTTTGTGGATTGCTATCAGAGGTGCTCCATCCAGGAGTAACCAGAATGCTTGATTCAGAATTTGATAATGAAAATGTTCTGGTGCCAATCCTATGACCACAGCATTAGGATCACTTGTTTGTATTCCTTTGAAATCAGGTAGTGCCCGATCATCAACTAGCAGCATGGGTCTGACTTGTTTCTGCTCTAGTAAACTTCTGGCTGCAGTCAGAGATGTGAATATTTCATTTTCAGAGATACCAAATTCCAATTTTCTCAACCTTTCCAACAGGTCTTGCTTGCTCTCTTTGGTCGTATTGGTCACAAACCTAACGATTACAGAAGCACCACGTAACCTTTTAAGAGCTTCCTGTGTGCCTGGCACAGCTGCATCTTCAATGTGAAGTGTGCCACTGAGATCTACCAAAACAGCTTTTAATGCACGGCGTGCTGCCATCTTTCATTCCCTACACTCCGTACGCCCTCCTCAGGAAAGGCCCCCGCTAATGGCAAAACCAGCCAGCCACACTGGCTGCAGGTTCCTCTCAGCTGGGATAAAAAGCCCCGCAGCCAACTATTTCTTTACATGGAGTATGGAGGCAGGAGAGAGTGTACCTTGAGAAAGGGCAGTTACTGCAATGGTGAATGGAAAATTAAAACAGCCTCATTAACAAATGTAAGTACAAAGTCCTAATCTGTAATAATTCTTTTTGTTTGTTTTTGAAACAGTCTCGTTCTGTTGCTCGGGCTGGAGCTCAGTGGCACAATCACAGCTCACTTTTTTGTTTTTTGTGTTTTTTTGCAAAGGCGGGGTCTCACTATGGTGCCTAGGCTGCTCTTAAACTCCTGGGCTCAAGTGATCCTCTTGCCTCAGTCCCTCAAAGTGCTGGGATTACAGGCATGAGCTACTGCACCCAGCTTGTGATAATGTATTTTAATGTAGTTTGAAATTTTAACTCCATGTTCTAGGGAACTATTAATAGGATTACATAACAAAGGTTCTGTGTTTAGTGTGAGAAACTGGGCCAAATAAATTTAAACAAGGTTCTTTAATGCAGGACTATTCAGAGCTCTGAAGTAATGATCACAGTGAATTTCTCAGAGCAGGACAGGTATATGGCCTACCACAAACTTACCTGACCACAGAGTGCTCTTTTTGTGGAGCAGGACTCAAAATCTTTATTGTCTGAGAGTGTGGCCAACAATTAGAAATAAGAGCAAGAGATACATGGAGTCCCAAGAAAATGACTCAGTCTCTCAGAGTAAGCAAAGTTTTTCTGGAGTCGAGTCCAGAAAGTATTATTTATAGGGCAGAGTTTTTCAAAGTGAGATCTGAGGACCACCTGCATCAGTCTTGGGGTGCTTGGGTGCTTGCATTTGAAATGCTGATTACCAGTTTCACTATCAGGGGAGCTGGAGGTGAGTGTGGCAGCCTATGTAGTTCAAAAATATTTGTTATCCCTCCCTGGGAGAAAATTATATTCCTCTGTCTACTGTCAGATTTGGCCATCGCAGACTTAGCTGTAAATATTTCAGCATATATATCTAAAAGATAACTGTTTTAGAAAACATAACCAGGGCCAGGCGTGGCAGCTCATGCCTGTAATCCGAGCACTTTGAGAGGCCGAGGCAGGCGGATCATGAGGTCAGGAGTTCAAGACCAGCCTGGCCAACATAGTGAACCCCGTCTTTACTAAAAATACAAAAATTAGCCGAGGATGGTGGTGTGTGCCTGTAGTCCCAGCTATTCGGGAGGCTGAGGCAGGAGAATAGTGTGAACTTGGGAGGTGGAGGTGGTGGTGAGCACTCCATCCTGGGTGACAGACTGAGACTCCATTTCAAAAAACAACAAAAAAGAAAACATAACCATTCTACCACTGTCACACCTAAACAACTTTGATAAAAACTTATCAAATAGGGCCGGGCGCAGTGGCTCACGCCTGTAATCCCAGCACTTTGGGAGGCCGAGGCGGGCGGATCACAAGGTCAGGAGATGGAGACCATGGTGAAACCCCGTCTCTACTAAAAATAGAAAAAATTAGCCGGGCGCAGTGGCGGGCGCCTGTAGTCCCAGCTACTCGGGAGGCTGAGGCAGGAGAATGGTGTGAACCCGGGAGGCGGAGCTTGCAGTGAGCTGAGATTGCGCCACTGCACTCCAGCCTGGGTGACAGAGCGAGACTCCGTCTCAAAAAAAAAAAAAAAAACAAAAAAAAAAACTTATCAAATAAAGTGTTTAAATTCAGTTGTCTAATTTTTTCTTCCCCCTGATGGTTTGTTTGAATTAGAGGTTGATCCATGCAGGGTTGACATTCTCCTATTAAACTTAAAGGAATCAACTGAAGAGGTGGCCGGCCACCCCACCTCTGTAGGCAGTTGGGCTGGTATCTGTCATTTACTTATGGGACTTAAAGTGACTAACAAGAAAAGCTAGGGTACAAGGTTGTGTAAATGAAAAATTACATGAAGGAAACCCAAGAGTGAGGGATGCAAAGTGGAGTCTGGAATGAGGCTCGAAAAGCACACCATGACATACACACCTACTTCATGAGGCCACACGTTTAAGCTTTCCAATAGTGAAGACAGAGAAAACTGGTCAGATACACCATTCGCAGTGTCCTGAAGATTAAAGCAAATCCAGATACAGAAAGGACAATTATTCCCCATGGTGGCATGTGCCTGTAGTCCTAGGTATTTGGAGGGCTGAGGCGGGAGAATGGCTTGAGCCAGGAAGGACGAGGCAGTAGTAAGCTGTGATGGCACCACTGCCCTCCAGCCTGGGTGACAGAGTGAGACCCTATCTCTAAAACAACACAATTGTTCCAGGCACTAAGATAAGAATTTCTTTCAAGGATCTTTTTCTAAAAATGATACTTATAAAAATGACATTCTGGTAATCACATTCCGATAATAAACAATGACATACTCTGAGCCATGCCCGTACCCTGAACTCTGCAGGGGCAGTTGTCTGAAGCAATAAATGAGGTGAATGTATTCAAGTGTATTCTGTGAGCATGGAATACATACCTTATGTTGAATATGTTTAGATCAACATTGTTAGGCTAAGTTTACACACACACCTAGATGTATGCCCCAGTTTGCCTGGCAGAGTTCCAGTTGGTGCCTCTTATCCCCAAGTCCCATCTGGCTAACACCTCCTTTTATTCTCAAAAGTGTCCCAGTTTGAACATTAAAGTATATAGTCATCCTATATAGAAAGCACCTTGCAGACCTAAGGAGGCTGTCCCCAATTCACCCAACTTGACGGAATTGTGTGTCCCTCAGGCCAAAGAGACAGAGGCTCCTCTGGTTGCTGAATCCTTTCCAGTGGATCTTTCCACAACTCTGTACCCAAATCTTTGAAGCTGCATCAGCACTTGTGCTTATGCTAATAACTGTGTGAACGTGATCATTTGTGTGCAAACCAACAAACCAGACAGGTTTACATATGTTACAACAAGTTTGTGGAAGACTGCACCTTAGACTCTCGGAAAAATCCTGATACAATGCAATTTAGTAAAGCAATTCTGCAAAGGACCACCACTTTTCAGTCTGGGGGATGGCTGCCTCTCACCTAGCTTGATGGTGGCAACCAAAGGGCAGTTAGTGTTTTTCTTAGGAAGCTAACAGTTGTAGCAAGTGGATACATGGGTGGTTGTAATGGACATCTATTATTTTTGCTTCATTCATTCAATCGTTCATCCTCTGGTAATCTCACCCTCAGATTTCCCTCTGGGGAACCCTTCTGTTCCCAACTCTCAGTCCACGTGGTTCTGCTGAAGCTGACCTAACCTGACCCTGGATGTGGAACGTGGGACCAAGGCCTAAGTCAATTAGTACATTAGATTCCCTGGCTTAGTGATTGATTTAGGGATGGATACATGGCCTGTCAGGAATACTTTGCCAAGGAATTTTGGAAAGAGGTTTAATGCTTAAGAGGATATGGTGGCTAAAACTGGCATGGCCACTTCGTTACCATGTTACACCTGAATCAGCAAAAGGTGGATCAATATGATCAGAAAGAATCCTGATGCAGCTGCATCTCAAGTCAGAACTACTCTTGGACTTTTTATTTTATTTTTTTTTGAGACAGAGTCTCGCTCTGTGCCCAGGCTGGAGTGCAGCAGCGCGATCTCGGCTCACTGCAAGCTCCGCCTCCCAGGTTCACGCCATTCTCCTGCCTCAGCCTCCCGAGTAGCTGGGACTACAGGTGCCGCTACCATGCCCGGCTTTTTTTTTTTTTTTTTTTTTTTTTTTTTTTGTATTTTCGGTAGAGACGGGGTTTCACCATGTTAGCCAGGATGGTCTGGATCTCCTGACCTTGTGATCCGCCCACCTCGGCCTCCCAAAGTGCTGGGATTACAGGCATGAGCCACCGCGCCCAGCCTTATTTTTATTTTTTATTTGGAGACAGAGTTTCACTCTTGTCGCCCAGGCTGGAGAGCAATGGTGTGATCTCAGCTTACTGCAACTTCTGACTCCCAGGTTCAAGCAATTCTCCTGCCTCAGCCTCCTGAGTAGCTGGGATTACAGGCGTGCACCACCATGCCTGGCTAATTTTTTTGGTATTATTAGTAGAGACGGACTTTCACCATGTTGGCCAAGATGGTCTCGAACTCCTGACCTCAGGTGATCTACCCGCCTCAGCCTCCCAAAGTGCTGGGATTACAGGTGTGAGCCACTGTGCCCAGCCAGACTTTTTAGTTTATATGAGCCATTTCTGCTTAAGAGAGGTTGGGTTGGATTTTCTATCACTTATATCCATAAACGTCTTAACTGATATAAAAATGAAAACCCTACATTCTATGCCTTCCTGAACATGGTCAATACGTTTAGTCTGGAAATATTTCAAAGCAAAAAATACCCTTTATCATAGGCACAGAAAAACTTCCATATTGTAACATGATTTTGAGGAACATTATCTTTCTGGAAAGCTTATCATTTGGAAGCTGCAAAATACATCTTTATGTAACAAAATGATTACACTTTTATGGAATTGTTGGCAATTAACTAAATAAATTCTGGATGCCATCTCAAGAAATATCAGTTTTAATTTTAGGGCTGTTATTTTAGCCCATTCTTTTTGAAAATAATTAGGAAGACTAAGAATTTATTGAGACCATTCCTAATTTGTGGAAATAAAACCACAACATCAACATGTAGGTTACTACTTAAGTGTTTTCTCTAACAGAAGTCTGTGTAGGCAAAATAACCCCACGAGGAGAGTTGGACTTTGAGAACTTTCTAAGGCAGATGAACTAATTTTCTTCTAGGAGAGTGTATGTAGCTCTAATGATTTTAAAAGGCCCGTGTGGTTGAGCAAACACTGGCCTGGGAATTAGAAAGCCCAAGTTCTAGTTTTAGTTCTGATACTAAATTAACTCATTGATTCTGACCAAGTCCTTTTAACTTTCATGTACCTCAGTTTCCTGTAAGACAAGAAATTCAGGCGAGGTGTTAAGTATGGTCTCCTCCAGCTTTAAGATTATGATCCACGAGACCAGCCTGGCCAACACGGGGAAACTCCGTCTCTACTAAAAATACAAAAATTAGCCAGGTGTGGTGGTGCGTGCCTGTAGTCCCAGCTACCTGGGAGGCTGAGGCAAGAGAATCACTTGAACCTGGGGGCGGGGAGGTTGCAGTGAGATGAGATCTCACCACAGCACGCCAGCCTAGGCAACAGAGCAAGACTCCATCTGAAAAAGAAAAAAGATTATGATCCAATAATACAGGCATGGCCGATTTACCGTATCTTCATAAACAGGAAGGTTTCATTATATGAGTAATAGATAAAATAGAGAAGTTATTTTATTTTTTATATTTTTTGAGGAGTCTCACTCTGTCACCCAGGCTGGAGCGCAGTGGCGGATCTCTGCTCATTGCAACCTCTGCCTTCCGTGTTCAAGTGATTCTCCTGCCTCATCCTCCCAAGTGGCTGGGATTACAGGTGCCTATCACCACACCCGGCTAATTTTTTTGTATTTCTAGTAGAGATGGAATTTCACCATGTTGGCCAGGCTGGTCTTGAACTCTTACCTCAGTTGATCTGCCTGCCTCGGCCTCCCAAAATGCTAGGATTACAGGTGTGAGCCACCGTGCCTGGCCACGAAATAATCTTAAAAGTGGCATTTATTTCATTTTGCCTTATATTCATGTATAAACCTTGGTTTCCATATTTGGGCTGTTAGTAAAAATAAGACAAAAATAAAACAAGGAAAAATCAATGTCATGAAGAACTAAAACTAAACCTAAAGCATGATGTTTATCTATATATTACTCAATAGGCACTTGTTATTGGGCTACGAATGTGAATGTGACATGGTCCTCGTCCTCAGTAATTTCCCTGTGTAATAGTGGCGGCAGGTAAACTACAGGTCAACTAAAACTAAGCCTAAAGCATGATGTTTATCTATACGTTACTCAACAGGCACTTGTTATTGGGCTACAAAAGTGACATGGTCCTCGTCCTCAGTAAGTTCTCTGTGTGATAGTGGCGGCAGGTAAACTATAGGTCACTTTTCTCACAAAAGCGAGAATACAGGTTCCTAGACTACAAGAGGAATCTTTAAGTTGGATAAATAATTTAGAGCTGGCCCTTTAAGGGATAATTTAAAGGATGGATGGAGAATTCTAGGCAGAGGGATTAACAGGTATTGAGTCCCTATATTAACTACTATAAAAATAAATCAAAGGAGATTATTTGTTAAATGAACCTATGCAAGTAAATTCAGATTTTTCCCCTTGGTGGATTTGCTCTGTTTGAGTTGAAGTAATGAGAGCTAACATTGATTCAGTGCCTGCTATGTTGTGCAGTGTTAGGTACTTTACATGTTATCTCATTTAATACCTCTTTAAACCTCATTTACAACTAAAATTAAATGACAGCCAGGAGCTAGGAAATGGCAAAGTTAGGATTCCAAATCTGCACTGGCTGTCCACAAAAGCCCTTGCTCTTGCCGTAATGATGCCACTTATTTCAAAGAATTCAAAATTTTCTTCACAGCTTTAAAAATGCATAGATTCTGAAGCCTCTCACTTCCAATTAGTTGCCTACCTAGAAAGTCATTTCCTCCACTTGCGCTCATCACCCCTCCTTAGCGCTCCTTTCGATTACTGTAATTTTTTTTTTCTTTGACCTCACCTTTCCTCGGATGGATTAGTCTTTCCCAAATTTGTTAATCCTAAGAATTCAGGAGTTTCTTAAAATGCAGGTTCCCAGGCTATGCTCCAGGACATCGATTAAGAATTGGATCGAGGCCTAGAATCTGTGTTTTTAACAAGCATTTGACTCAAGGGCATCAAATTGGAGGAAGCACTGAGTTAGTGGACTACCTTAATTTATGTACCCATTTTTAGTCTCCTCTTCCAACCCATTCGCTCCACCCCACCCCCAGTCCGGTTTTCCGTTTTTTCCTCGTGGTCCCTGAAGACTTCCGTATCATTTCACATTGTTTTATTTGGGGCACTGTGCCGCAGTACCTGGGCCCACAGCAGGCGCCCAATATTTACTGATAAATCCAACCCACGAGGTAGTTCCTATTACTACCCTTCAATTTGAAATTGAGAATAAAACAGAAGTCGCCAAGTTGGGGTAGCTGGTAACATCAGTATTTCCTATTTAATCCAGAAAGCACTGCTTCAGCGCCCACTGCGTGCAAGGTTCCACTTTCGGGCCAGCAGTCCTCTCCCAAAGCCTGTTCTTTCCAAGTGTGCAGCCGCCATCCAGGCCACGCCACGCTCCTAGGTCACCTGCATCACCGACTCTCCATGTTAAAGAGGGAAGCAAAGGAGCGCGCCTTTTTCTCCAAAATGGCTGAGCAGGGTCACGTGGGCTCGGGGGCGGGGTTGGTGCGCTCGCCGGAACAGGGCGGCGGGTCACGTGGTTCAGACGGGGGCGATAGCCATGGGGGCGTGGCCGTCACACGGCCCGATGCGCCTGGGCAGCGGCTCTTCGGGGGCCACGCCCCCCGGGCCCTGGGGGCCTAGCGCACGACGGTGGGGTGGAGTCAGCCTCGTGACCTTTTACCCCAGCATGGCTGCGCCCGCGGGACCGGTGAAGTTCTGGCGACCCGGTAAGGCCTTTGGTGGAACGCTGGGCAGATGCGGCGGCCTGACTTCGGTCTTGGCGCCGTGACCGGCGTCCTGGGGCCAGCAGACCTGCTCGCAGGCCTGACCTCGGCGAGCTGGGCGCTGCCGCCTCTGTGCGGGGGGGACTCTGGCTCAGTCTCCCCAGTGGTCCCAAGGGATTCGGGGGTGCTCCCCTAGCGTGAGCAGAAACTCTGTGACCTTGTTAAAGTGGTCCAGCCTCCTCGGGCCTCGTCTTCCTCGCTACTGATGCTTGTCCTGCCCACCCCGCGAGATGGGGAATACTAAAGCTCCCCGTCGTGTCTCGTTACCGCGCTGGGATTGCGTTGGGGCCCGACAGACAATGCTGTTCGCTGCTCAGGGCTTGCAAGCCCAAGTTATGGAGTCAGACTGTCCGGATTCGAATTTTCGTCTCTGCCTTGTAGTAGTAGGGTGACCTTGGGCGAGTAACTTAACGCCTCTGAGCCATGACCTCTTTACCTGTAAAGTGGGCAGAACAATAACTTCTATCCTGTGGGCTTAGAAGACGAGTACAACGCGTTGTCAGACTTAGAATAAATGCTCAAAAAAAGGGAGAGTGTATTATTTTCTTGTAGGATAATTGTTGTCCACTCCAAATGTCTACTAGAAAAGGGAACACTCCTTCATATTGGCTGCCAGCCACTTCCTGTCTTACAAACTAACACGAATCACAGTCACAAAATACTTTGCTTGTTTTGTCTTGATATTTACTCGTTAATCAGTTTTTATTGAATGTGTATATGCCAGACCATACTAGATGCATTACTTTCTCTCTGCAATCAGTTTCTTGTAAAAAACAAAAGTTTTTCAATTACAGCTACCAGCTTGATTTTTTTCCACCACCTGCACCCCTGCAGGTCTGGATGTGCAAAGTATATTGCAGCAAAAATGAAATGACACCAAGAATGTAATATAAGCAAAGCTTTTAATTTTTCAGTGGTTCCCTGAAATTCTGACCATGCATATGTTGATGTGAGAGATAAACCCAAGCAAGAGATGTGTTTAATGCTTTTTAAAAATTTGTAGTTTGTCACTTGACAGTTTTATGATTCAGCATTTCAAGTCATCAGTCAATTATCCATCCTGAGTTTTACTTGCATCCAAAAACTAGGAACTTACTTTTAATGAATACTTTTAATTTGTAAAATTAAGTAAGTAATGAATACTTTTAATTTGTTCACACTTTTAGTAACAGGTGAAAGTGTTAGGTATAGTAAAGAGCTGAATGAACTGTTTGAAATCAGACCAGAGTACTATTTTGGCTAAAGAACGTGGAATTACTATAAGAGTTCTATTTCATTATTTAGTTCATCCATTGAGGGTACACTTATTGAAAACCTAATCCTGTGTTCAGGAGACAAATATAGATGCTCAGGGCTCTGCTCTCAAGTTTCGCTCTCTCTCTTAATTGAATATAAAGTAAGATGTCCTCTAGAAGAGATTTTACAATGAGGCAGAGTAAGGTGGTGGTAAAGATGAGCTCTAGAGTCAGACTGCAGTGCCCATTGTGTCTGCCACTTACTAAGTTGATGATTTGATAGTCTCTTAAATTCTTAAAGTCTCAGTTACTCCATCCGTAAATTGGGTGTAATACCTACCCAAAGTGTTGTTGTGAGGATTAAATGAAAATAACACACAAAAGGATCTTGGCACTAGATAGGTTACTATTATAATTATATGGAAGAGAGAGGGAAAGTTGAATGTATGGATAAGAAATACTTCATTAAGGTGGTATTTTTGGAGTGAACATTAAAGGATGAAAGAGGTTTTGTTTCATAGAGAAATGGAACTCAAAGCAAAGGGTGCAGCATGAACAAAGGCAGAATGGAATTTGTGCCTTTAGAATGTCCAGAAAGCCAAAATAACAGAGAAGTGTGATGGTGTTAAGTGCTAGGGTATATTTTGGGGTATGACAGGAGATGAAACTAGAAAAGTAGGTAGGGGCCTCATTGTGAAAGGTCCTCATGACAAGTTAAAACATTTAGACCTCACTGTTTTTTTCTTTTCTTTTCTTTTCTTTCTTTTCTTTCTTTATTTCTTTTTTTTGAGACAGAGTCTGGCTCAGCCATCCAGGCTGGAGTGCAGTGGCATAATCTTGGCTCACTGCAACCTCCACCACCCGGGTTCAAGCGATTCTCTGCCTCAGCCTCCTGAGTAGCTGGGACTACAGGTGTGTGCCACCACACCCAGCTAATTTTTGTATTTTTATTAGAGACAGAGTTTCACCATGTTGGCCAGGATGGTCTCGATCTCTTGACCCCGTGATCCACCCACCTCGGCCTCCCAAAGTGTTGGGATTATAGGCATGAGCCACCGGCCCAGCCCGACTTCACTGTTTTTAAGCAGGGACAAATCAGGTTTACTTTAGAAAGATAACAGAGAAGGTACTACTGAAATCCAGGAGGGATGTTAAAAACCTTAATTCGGCTGGGCGCGGTGGCTCAGGCATGTAATCCCAGCGCTTTGGGAGGCCGAGGCGGGTGGATCATGAGGTCAGGAGATCGATACCATCCTGGCTAACATGGTGAAACCCCATCTCTACTACAAATACAAAAAAATGAGCCGGGTTTTCCCAGCTACTTGGGAGGCTGAGGCAGGAGAATGGCGTGAACCTGGGAGGCAGAGCTTGCAGGGAGCTGAGATCATGCCACTGCACTCCAGCCTGGGCGACAGAGCAAGACTCCGTCTCAAAAAAAAATAAAAAAATAAAAAAAAAAAAAACCTTAATTCTGACCTGGGAGCTTAGAGTAGGGGCCTGTTGGAGAGACATTTTAGAGGAAGATGTGAGAGAAGATGAAGTCAATAATGACTCAGATTTCTGGGTTGGGTGACTGTCTAGGTTAGTGATTCTCTAATTTTGCTTTATAGTTGAATCACTTGGGAAGCTCTGAAAAGTCCTGATGTCCAGTTGCACCCCACACCAATAAATTAGAACTTTGGAGGGCTAAGAGGCAGGCATCAGTGTTTTTTAAAGTCTCTAAGGAATTCCAGCATGCATCAAAATTTGGGAACCATTGGTCTAGGTAAATTGTGTTGTTATTAGTTGACATGGAAATAGCTTTAGTACACAGTTATTGGGCCCTTAAGACTTTCATTTACACATCTTATTAAACAGTCACAGTATCTCTGTGATGACAATAATACTCTTATTTTAGTGAGGAAATTCAAGATATGAAGTAGGTTGTGGGAAATGCAAGGCGAAAGTCAGGGAGGTGGTTGAAGCTGGATATAAAGCTAGACATTGGAATCATGAACATATCCTGTAGGCCTGAGCCCGTGACTCCTAGTCACAGAGTGTGCAGAGGGTGCATGCACTGGATAGATGTGTACGGTGGAGATCGACATTAGAGCTTACATATGCTTTCTAAAATAGGGAGCTGTACTCAGGTTCACCTAATTGTTATCATATGAGTTCAGAGTTGCCCAATCTTTTTTTTTTCCTAAGAAGCCTGATATCCAGATCTGAATGGGAAAATTTTATGTGTTGTTTTAAATGAACGATTTAAAACATTGTAACAATAGCATGTCCGGGGACCTTAAGTGTGGTCTCTACCTTAGGAGTGTGACTTAAGGGCCTTGTATGACTGGCCTGAGAGTTTTCTACAAAAATCTTTTACTTAATTTGCAAGTACATGTGGATCAGAAGGGCCTGCCCGTTTTCGTTTGCCCATTTGATAAATATTTCATGATTGTTGACCTTGTGCTTGACAAAAACTTTACAACAATAGCTTTTAAGCTTTTTTTGACTTGACCCACAGTAAGGAATATATTGTGTTGTGATCTAGCACACATATACAACCAAAAAAAGTTGTTCATAAACAGTATTCCTTTCTGGAATGTGCTCTGATGCTTTCTATTCTATTTCATTATTTAAAAAGTGCTGGTATGACATACTACATTGATTTCATAACCCACTAATGGGTTACCATTCAAATTTTTAAAAACCGAGTTAAAGGGAATGTGAGATTGGGGATATCAGCCTTGTTAAGATAGAGAAATGAAGATGTTCATAGTTTGCAAAAGTTATAAAGGTGTTGCTCCCTTAAGCATAGAGCATACTCTCAAGGAAAGATCAATTATAGGCAGCCACAGAGGGGTGTTTATAGAGGGAAAGGAACCCTGATGTTCTGGTTTGGTTGAAGGAAGTCTTTTATGAGGAGAAGATACATTGTTTATCAGCTGACATAGCTGTTCTTATAAAAGAGCTCGGCTGGGCGCAGTGGTTTATGCCTGTAATACACTAGCACTTTGGGAGGCCGAGGCGGGTGGATCACCTGAGGTTGGGAGTTTGAGAGCAGCCTGGCTAATATGGTGAGGTCCTGTCTCTACTAAAATTACAAAATTAGCTGGGCGTCGTGGTGCGTGCCTGTAATCCCAGCTACTCGGGATACCCAGGCAGGAGAATCGCTTGAACCCCGAAGGCGGAAGTTGCGGTGAGAAGGCATCTTGCCATTCCACTCCAGCCTGAGCGACAAAGACTCCATCTCCAAAAAAAAAAAGAGCTTCTAACAGAAGAGATGGTTTGGGCTGTAGGTTAGAGACAAGGGAGGAATGTAGTAGTACAAAAGACACGTTGAAATATTAAATATTCCAGAGAGGATATGAAGGTTTAAAACATGGTATGAAAAGGCAGGAATTCAGTACAAAAACATAGCAGAAGAGCATAAGGTATTCTTTGTAATTGTTTTCTTGGGTAACAATTACAAGGAATTAAGATGTAGTGACAAGAAGGGAAGAAAAGAAAGGAAAGGAAGCCCGCCTTTTTGAGGACAGGCATTGTTCCAGATCCTGTTCCATCTTTTCTCTTGTTGAAAGGAAGGTCAACATTTTGGCAAAAGCAACATAACTGTCCCACTTACCTGATTTTTGCCAGTCTTGAACCTCTGAAACACAACTGTGTTCCTGGAAGTAAATGGAAGAGGGTCGGAGATCTAAAGGGTCAGTGATTCTAAACTTAGCTCTAGGGGGTCTATGGACCCCCAGAATTTTATGTTCTGGTAAATTCTGGTGTGTTTTTTTAGGAGAGGGAGTTCATAGCCTTTATCAGATTGTTGAAGCAATCTGAGAACCCTAAAAAGTGTAAAAGTAAGTCACTGAGCTGAGTATTCTTGTTACAAAGCTCCTGTGTTTTCACATAGCATCACAGATTCTGAGTTCAGAAGACCTAGGAAATGATAGTTACTGCTTATTGTCACTGTAGTGCCCCAGCAGGAGGCTGTATAGCATGTGTTTGATCTAGGGAGGATTTTTATTCATTTACAAGGCAGCATACTCCAGTGCTGAACGGTGTGACCTTTTAGAAATTTCTTCCTTACATTGAGTTGAATTCTGAACCCTGTGTCATTTACTTCTTACTCCTAATTCTGTCCTAGGGTTACAGCAGCAAATCAGCATGAAAAGTTATAGAAGCCGATCACACAATTTAAACTTAAGTTTCTCCTGAGTTTTTTTTTTGTTTGAGCTAAAACTGTATGGAACCTTCAACAGGTTTTCAGGATGGGATATGGCTTCCCTGTTCTTCACCGTAATGAGCACCGGTTTGCCATTGTTCTTAGCAAGAAGCTGGGGTGAAGATCTCTTGTTTAATCTGCCCAGCATGGCAGTTTCTGGGAATAGCATTTCCCAGAAATAGCATTTCCCATCTATCCACTCCCAATTCCATGGTTGCAATGGGGACTGTCATTTACTGCATCACATTCCACTGGCCAGGGTCGATTGTATTGGGGTGGGGATTGGACCTAAGCTGGGAGAAGTCAGTCCCTGCCTGTCCAGTGTAAAAGAACCTCCCCCACCCCCCATTACAACACATACCTGGGACTCCCAGTCCCCCTTATGGTGTCTTTATTTCTCTCCATAGCACTTATGACCACTTCATGCACTAAGTTACCTTCCACGGAGAGGAAGAATTAAAAAAGCAAGTGAGCTCCGTGAGGGTAGGACTGGCATCTGTATTGTTCACTGTAGTGTTTCCAGTGCTTAGAGCAGTGCCTGGCGTGGAGTGGGCCCTCGGTCCAGCCTTGCTGGTCCTTGCTGGATGAATGATGGGTGCTTGGTAGAGGAGTTGTAAGCGTGAACCCTGGCACTGCCGGCAGCCGTGTTTCCAGCTCCTGTAGAGTAGCCAACCTAAGGGGCTGGAAGGAACCTGCAAGAGGTGCCAAGATGAGAGAAGGAGAAAGCCATGGCTGCTTTGAGTGCCCAGTTTCTGTCATCTCTGAGCCTTATTGCCATCCTACATTAACAGGATTCATCCTTTTACCTCAGCTAATTCCCACTGGGTTTCTTTCACTTCCGTTAAGAATTCAGTAATAACATGGACATGGAGGCCAGAACTAAAGACACTGTGGTCTGTAATATACAATTCTGAGTGGCCAATTTGGAGCCCAGTGGGACTGCCATCTCATTTCTTTTTTTTTTTTTTTTTGAAGACAGAGTCTTGCTCTGTGACCCAGGCTGGAGTGCAGTGGCGCAATCTTGGCTCACTGCAACCTCTGACTCCTGGATTCAAGCAATTCTCCTGCCTCAGCCTCCCAAGTAGCTGGGACTACAGACGCACACCGCCATGCCTGGCTAATTTTTTGTATTTTAGTACCGGTGGGGTTTCACCTTGTTGCCCAGACTGGTCTCGAACCCCTGAGCTCAGGCAGTCTGCCTGCCTTGGCCTCCCAAAGTGCTAGGATTACAGGCATGAGCCACTGCGCCTGACCCCATCTTGTTTGTTTTTGACACTGTGGTGAAGCTTTTAGGGAAGATTTTTGGTTCCTCGTAGACACTTTTCTGGATGCTTTCATAAAGTTGAATACCTTCGAGTAGTTGGAGATAAAAAGTATTGCTTCTCTTGTATATCTTCCTCTTCAAAAGTTTGTAACCTTAACACCTTTTTCTGTTCGTTGTATCAGAGAATCTGAAAAAAACATTTCTGCTGCAGGTACAGAGGGACCAGGTGTAAGCATCTCTGAAGAGAGACAAAGTCTGACTGAAAACTCTGGGACAACAGTTGTTTACAACCCTTATGCTGCCCTTTCCATAGAGCAGCAGAGGCAGAAGCTGCCAGTATTCAAGGTACATCAAATAATCGTGTTCGATCTGTGGGCTTGAATCGTGTGTCTGCATTAGCTTTATGCTCACCACTGAAGGGAATGGTGTCCTCTTTCTAGAACAGAGTGAGCTCAGAGAAACCCTTATCGTAAGGGATGATTTCATACTATGTAATTTTTAGTTAACCGTGTAAATCTTGAGAGTTCTTAAGATTTTTTCAGTTGCATCGTACATACTGGAAAACTGGAAGAATTAGAATGACTTTTTTTCCCCCTTTATTTCTTTCAATTACGGACAATTTCAGATATACAGGAAAGTAGAGAAAATAGCAGTTACTTTCCATATGACAGATTACCAACATATGGCCAACTTTTGCTTTATTTTTGAAGACACTCCTTTAAACAAGTTTACTTGGGAATATGAGGTTGTTTCTGCTGAAGACATCAGTTAATACTCTGACTTCCTCAGACAGTGACAGGATTTTGGTATGGTTAGTACTTACAAAGTGTACATCCAGACACTCGGTTTTATTAGTGCTCATGAAATAGATGCGTGCTCAGCTACAACAGACCAAAGTGCAAACTAGAATTCATTCAGAACGTGTTCATTTATGGCTAATGATAGTTCTCCACTACAGATGGACACGGTTGATATATACACTTTCTTCCTGTTGGCACATCCACATGGGAAGTCAAATTGTAATCTGGAAGTACAGAGCAAAGACAGGTTACAGAAATGTCATACAGCCCCTGATGAGGGTGAATTCTCCCTGCTCCACAGGATGCCTCTGGAATGACCTGAGTAGGTGTGGCTGCCAGCACCTGTGTCTCTTTCTTTCTTCTGGATGTTGCTGGGTGAAAGTTGCCATGTTCTCTCTCTCTCTGTCTCTGTCTCTCTCTATCTCTCTCTCTGTCTGTCAGTAAATCAGACAGGGTCTTCCTATGTTGCTCAGACTGGTAACGAACCCGTAGGCTCAAGCAGTTCTCCTGCGTCGGCCTCCCAAAGTGCTGGGATTACAGGTGTGAGCAGCCAAAAGGTGCCAAGTTCTTATACTCGGGGTTCTTTTGGCTAGACTGTCCTGATAATTCCTCTTCTATTAATGTGTTTTTTCTCCAAATAGATAGGCAACAGCAGCCTTCTTAATTTAGCCAGATTGCCTTACTTGGAATTTTATGTGGCTCCCAATATTTTAGTCACATGTGAACTGACTGTCTCTGGGTTTCTTCCTCAAGTGACTAACTCATTCACTATGAATGAATGTTAGCAGGTCTGACTTTCAGGAGATGAGATGGTAGGTTCAGTAGGGTCTGGACTCTGGAGCTAGACTTCAGGGTTCACACCCAAGCTTCACCATTTATGTGCTTCGTGAAGCAATTCTCCATTCTGAGCTTCTTTTCCTTATCTGTGATGTGGGACTAATAGGAGCACCTACCTCATAGGACTGTTATGAGGACCAGATGAGATCATTCATGCAGAGCATTTAGCAAGACACCTGACGTGTAATAAATGCTCAAGTACAAGGGAAATTACTGTTTATTAATTTTGGCCTTTTCTTGACTCTTCTTTGTCTCCCAACTGTACTTAAAAGATAACGTAAATGAAACAGCAAATGAGAAAAAAAGAAAAGCAACAAGGAGTTGAGAAATGTTGATAAAATTAAAATGGTAAGAAGAACGGTATACGTTATTGATATAAAGCAAAGTAGAGTTTAAGTACAGTTGAGATCTTATAAGATGTTAAAGATAAATCTAGTACTAAACAAGTAGATACGTGTTTGCCCTTAAAAAAATGCAATTACTAGTGTATTAGTCACACTGTTCTACATCTTACTTCCTTTTCTTAACATATCTTATAGATCATCCCATATCAGTACAAATAGGTATTTCCTCTTCTTAATAACTGCAAATTACTCCATTATTGGAGTATTTTATAACTGATTTAACCAAACTTTTGTTGATCAGCATTTAGGCTGTTTGAATTTTTGGCTATTATAAACAACTCTGCAGTGAGTATGCATGTATTTATGTCTTTGTACACATGTAGTATGTAGTAGTATGTCTATAATTTCTTTTCTTATTTTTTTGAGACAGAGTCTTATTCTGTTGCTCAGGCTGGAGTGCAGTGGCATGATGTCTGCTCACTGCAGCCTTCCCCCACAGGGTTCAAGCAGTTCTTCTGCCTCAGCATCCCAAGTAGCTGGGATTACAGGCACTTGCCACTGTGCCCAGCTAATTTTTGTATTTTTAGTAGAGACGGGGTTTCACCATTTTGGCCAGGCTGGTCTTGAACTCCTGACCTTGTGATCTACCCCGCTTGGCCTCCCAAAGTGCTGGGATTACAGGCATGAGCCACCCCGCCCAGCCTATAATTTCTTATAAGTGAAAATGTTAAAGGGTGTCTGCATGTATTTTGGTGTTACACTTGATTGCAGTTGTATTCGCTCATGCTGAGAGGAACAGTACCTGAGAGTTAGAAATACATTTTGATAGTTCTATTTAAAATTTACTTTCCTTTGAAAACAGCTCATTTCGTAATGTTTCAAAATCATTGTTGTTTAGGTCTTTTGAGACAATGTATGGCTTTTTACAAGGTGTGTTATTCTTTTTCAGCTTAGGAATCATATTTTATACTTGATAGAAAATTATCAGACAGTGGTGATTGTTGGTGAAACGGGATGTGGGAAGAGCACACAGATTCCTCAGGTGAGTACATATTTAATATGTGTCTTTACACTTCGATTTGGCTGGAAGGATTTTGTAACTTGAGAACTCTTTTTACTATCACTTACATTTTTAAGATCTCCTCTCAGGAAATGTTCACCTCAACTAGATTTTTTTTTTTTTTTGAAGTGGAGTCTCGCTCTGTCGCCCAGGTTGGAGTGCAGTGGCGCGATCTCAGCTCACTGCAAGCTCCGCCTCCCGGGTTTACGCCATTCTCCTGCCTCAGCCTCCCAAGTAGCTGGGACTACAAGCGCCCGCCACCTCGCCCGGCTAGTTTTTTGTATTTTTTAGTAGAGACGGGGTTTCACCGTGTTAGCCAGGATGGTCTCGATCTTCTGACCTCGTGATCCGCCCGTCTCAGCTTCCCAAAATGCTGTGATTACAGGCTTGAGCCACCGCGCCCAGCCTTAACTAGATATTTTTAATTAAACTTTTAGGGCTTACAATTTCTTTGATGACTGCTAAAGTAATAGTTTGTCTTTGATTTATTATAATTCCAAAATAGTAATGGAACAGCTATCCTCTGAAAGTTATAATGGAAACTTATTCAAAGATGTGTAATACAGAGTTTTTATCCTTAAATAGTTATAGTTGAAGAGGTTGGGTAAAATGAATATTGCTATGGTTGTAAATAAAAATTGGTTATTATAGAATTATGCAGTGCTATGAGAAGAACCCTTTCTCACTAGGAAAAATCCTATGTGGTGTGGATAGGAGTAGAAAGAAGGATCAAGAAAGGCCTTGTAAAGGAATTGGCATTTGAATTTGACCTTGAATTATCAGTGGGAGCTGACTGAGAAGATATTCCAAGCCAGTGAATATTGTGGTTAGAGATACTGGGGAGGAGAAGTATAGGGTGAGTTCAGAGTGCGCCTTAAGAACCTTAACTTGAAGAGTAAAGGCTGACCGAGCTTGAGAGACTTTGCAGGTTCTTCTTTCATTTTTCAATATTAATTTTCTTGAAGTATGAAATATATGTAGAAAAGTACCTATATCATAATTGTACACCTTGATACATTTCTGCAAGTGGAGTACATCTGTGTTACCAGCACCCAGATCAAGAAACAGAACATTACCAAAACCCCGAGAACTCTTCTTCTGTGTCCTGTTCTGATCTCTAACTGCCCTCTCTGCTTACCCCTATAATCATGAACACAAAGGTAGCTCTTATTCTGGCTACTAACCTCATAATTTAGTTTTGCCTATTTTTGGAATTTTATAAAGGAGTAATATAGCTTCTTTTGTCCAACATTATGTGTGAGTCTTCCTTGTTGTTGAATTAGTTGCAGTTTGTTCATTCTCATTGCTGCATAGCAGGGTTCAGCAAGTCACAGCCAGTGGGCCAGATGCAGCCCACTGCCTGTTTTGTAGAGAAATCTTTACTGGCACACAGCCATACCTACTTGTTGATATATTGCCGGTGGCTGCTTTCAGGCTACCACACAGGGTGAACAGTTTTGACAGAGACCCTACGATCCTCAAAACCTAAAAATGTACCATCTGGCCCTTTACAGAAATGTGAAATGTAATGTTAACCCCTGCTAGTTGGTATTCCACTGTATGAGTATTCCATGGTTTGTTTATTTTTCCTATTGTTACTGACATTTGAGTCATTCCCAGTTTTTAGTTATGGATAGTGCTGCTGTGAACATTCATGTACTTGTCTTTGGTGAACATACGTGCACATTCTCCTGCCGAGCTCTACCTAAGAGCAGCATTGTTGGATCCTGTGTTCAACTTTAGTAAATAATGTCTAAGATATTCAAAGTGGTTGTGTCCTTGTAGGGTTTGCAAGCAAGTGAACAACATGGTAAGCTGAGCTTTAGATAAATGATTGTATTGAGATATAAGGTGACTTAGAAACTGGAGGAGGCAGGCCATAGAAAGCTATTGCAGTGGTCTGGAGAAGGGTGGTGTAACGGGGTCCTCAACCAAGAGGTGATAGTGGGATAATCTGATGAGGATAGGGAGGAGAACAATTTTAGCGTTAGGGTCTGTAGATATTAGAAACTTAGGTTGGTACTTTTGCACCGATCTAATACATGGATATTTGTGATGACAAAGTGGAAGGTACAAAGGTGCACACTGACTGACCATGACTTGCTGCCTTGGCGAACAGTACTAATATTAAATGTGATAGGACAGTAAAGATTTTTTTCGAGGGGAAATTAACGTGTTTGCTTTTAAACAGATTTATTTTTTCCTATATTATTGATGGCCTTTGATGACATTATTAGCAGGAAGATTGGAATGGGAATCTGAAGCTTGGTGGAGGTCAGATGTAGAAGGTGTGGACATAGGGATTGAACATCCTGATACATGGAGGAAGGAGATGGAACAGAAATAACTGAGAAGAGGATTAAGGACAAAGTCCTAGGAGCATCAACATTTAGGAGTCAGGAGCAGAAATGAGATAGAATGGCAGCCAGGGAAATGACAGAGGAACGAGGAGACTGTTAATGGTTAGAGAAAGCAAAGAAAGAGTGAGGTTTTGGAGAGGTGGGCAGGTGGCAGGTGCAGCCAACAGAGCGGCCAGGGAGCAGGAGAACTGGTTCAGTCCTGAGTTGTTCATCTTGGAGACAGCACGTCCAGTGGTAGGGTTTTAGGGTTAAGGGTGTCTAAGGGGAAGATGATAAAAATCCCTTTGCATTTTTGAATATGTTAACGATGTATTGTTGACTGCCTGGTCCAGAGTTGTGGTCATGCCAGCATCTGTGTAGGTCTTCTTTTTTGTCTGCTCCCCAACTCCATTCTGAATAATGGGTTTATTAATAGGTTGGGACCCAGATATAGTTATTTTTTTAAAGTTTCTCAATAGACAGCTAGGAAAAGGTAGACAGAGGAGAATGACCTAGTAAAGGACAATTTGAAATGCATACAGCAGAAGAAATGGTGGCCTGGAGGAAAAAGATAACCATATATGCAGATGGAATTGAGAGCCAGTAAGTTACTCACTTCTTACAGGAAGAAACAGGAGAAAGGTTAAATTACTGTGTGATTGTCTTTTAGAGGGTAATATAACAATAATATAACAACTAATAACAGTAGTAAGTGCTGCATAAAGTGATTTTACACATGTTGATCTGTTTAATCCTTAATGACCCTATGAAGCAAACACCATTATTGTCTTCATTTTATAGGTGAGGACACTGTAGAGAGTAGTGAGGTTATGGAATATAGAACAGAGGTAAAAGGCCACACGATGTTCCAGAATTGTTTGGGAATTAGTCTGTGATGTTATGTAGTCAGCTTAGGATAAACTATGTTCTGGTAACAAAGAACCTGAAAATCTCAGTGGCTTAAAAGCGCAAAGGTTTATTTCTTGCTCATACTATGTGGTTGTCTTGGGTTGGCTTTGAGATTCTATCACATCATCATTGGGCCTTAGGCTGATGGTACTGCTCTTATGAGGCACTTGTTGGTCTTATGGTAGATGGCAGAATCATGAGATAGCTCTTAAAACTTCTGACCGAAAGTGGCCCTTCTGCTCACATTTCATTGGTCAAAGCAAGTTATATGGCCAGGCCTGATAGCAACGGGGTGGCAGCATATATAATCCTCCCATAGGAATGGGTGGCAGGTATTTAGAACAGTGATAAATATATCACAGTGATTTGACCATTTACCCCTGCAAAGTTTAGCTGCCAGGGAACAGAGAGGGCCTGCTGTGTTACTAAGTCCAGGGAAAACTGGTGGGAAGGAGGAAGAGGAGGGATGAGGATCTAGGCTGGGTAATGTGGGCAAACAAAGGTAGTTTTTTTTCTTTTAATTTTAAGATTTGAATATTTTTATTATTTTTGAACATTAATAGGTTCACATGGTTTTAAATTCAAAAGGCACAAAGGGGCCGGGCATGGTGGCTCAAGCCTGTAATCCCAGCACTTTGGGAGGCCGAGACGGGCGGATCATGAGGTCAGGAGATCGAGACCATCCTGGCTAACACGGTGAAACCCCGTCTCTACTAAAAAATACAAAAAAACTAGCCGGGCGAGGTGGTGGGCGCCTGTAGTCCCAGCTACTCGGGAGGCTGAGGCAGGAGAATGGCGTGAACCCGGGAGGCGGAGCTTGCAGTGAGCTGAGATCTGGCCACTGCACTCCAGCCCGGGTGACAGAGCGAGACTCCGTCTCAAAAAAAAAAAAAAAAAAAAAACAAAAGGCACAAAGGGACATAAAAAGATTTCCTTCTGCCCTGTCTTCCTGGTACTCATTTCCTTTGTGCACTTATAATCAATATTATCAGTTTCTTGGTAGAAATTTTTTCATGCATTTACAGAGAAGTGAGTGTGTGTGTGTATGCACGTATATGCCCTATTTTAAACATGAAACAGCTATACATGTTTTAGTATGCCTTGTCTTTTTTCTTTTTTACTTATTCTTTCATTTTTTTAAAAAGCTGTTTTGAATTGACATAATAACTATGCATATTTATGGGATTTAGTGTAATGTTTTGATATGTATATATGTTATATAATGATCAAATCAGGGTCATTAGCATATCCATCACCTCAAATATTTATCATTTCTTTGTGATGAGAACTTTCAGACTCCTCTTAGCTATTTTGAAGTCTATGGCACATTATTGTTAACTATAGTCACTCTTCTGTGCAGTAGACCACCAGAACTTATTCCTCCTACCTAACTGTAACTCTGTGCTTGTTGACCAACCTCTTATTCTCCCTACTCCCTGTCACCCTCTCCCCTCTGCACTGTTCTATTCTCTACTTTTGTAAGATCAACTTTTTTAGATTCCACACGAGTGAGCTCATGCAGTTTTTGTCCTTCCGTGCTTGGCTTATTTCACTTAACATCATGTCCTCTAGGTTCATCTGTGTTGTTGCAAATGACAGGATTTCATTCTTTTTTATGGTTGAATAGTATTCTCTTGCGTATATATATCACGTTTTAAAAATCCATTCATCTGTTGATGGACACCTAGGCTGATTCCATATCTCGGCTGTTGTGAGTAGTGATGGGAATGCGGA